CAGCTTTAACATACTCAATAGTAACAGTTTCCAGAACAAAGATACATCTCTTTCAAAAGTGGCTATAAAATTTTTAGGTTCACTGTTGAATTAATACAGTTATACAAAGCATACACATCTTTAATTCTAGCACTCAGGAAGCAGAGATAGGCAGATTGTGAGGTTGAGGCCAGCCTGGTCTACATAACAAGTTCCAGGCTAGCCCGGGCTACATGTTGAGACCCTATCTCAAAACAATAAAATTAAATCAATTAAATAAAATTAGTTTTAAAAAATGCTATGACTGGAGCTGGAGAGATGGTTCAGTGGTTAAGAGCACTGGTTGCTCATGCAGAAAACCCAGGTTCAGTTCCCAGTGCCCACATGATGACTAACAGACATCTATAACTCCAGTTCCAGGGTATCCAATGCCCTTTTTTGGCCTTTGGGTATTGCATTTAAAAAATATGGGCAAAATACTCGTATATATAAAATGAAAATAAATGTTTAAAAAAATTTTAAGCTATGACCTGTTTGGAACAAAGATTGTAGTTAGAGCTGGGTGTGGGAGCACACACCTTTAATCCCATCTTCCAGCCCCTGGATTTCTCTATTTTATTCTGACTTCAACTATTATTCCTCTTATTAACTTCCTGTCAGTCAGTTTGAGGCCAGCCTAGCCTGATCTGCATATTGAGTTCCAGGCCAGCTGGGGCTACAAGGAGAACCTGTTTCAGTGAGACAAAACAAATAAACAAAAAAGACCAGTTAAATGAATTACTGATAAACAATACATCACTAACCAAGTATTTTAGATTAGTCATTCACAATATGAAGTAGTCCCTGGTCCTAAACTAATATATTTTCTTACTGACCTAGTTACCAGGGGACTTACTAGAATTGCTTTAGACCAGGCATGTCTAACCTGTACTCTCTAGGTCACATGCTTCCCAGAATAGCTATGAACATTGCCCAGTACATTTGTAGGTGACAACTTCATGTCAAAAGGTTGACCACCCCTATTTTGGAATATATATTGAAATGAGAATTATGGACTAGCTAGATGGCTCAGTGGGTAAAGGCACTTGCCACTAAGCCAAAATCCCCTTAAATGTTCCCCTTGACCCCTTTTTATTTATATTGTATGGCATGCTAGCACGATAGTGCACAAGGTGAATTCCTCTTTTAAAGAGGACTGACTGCATTAGAAAAACCACATAATTTACCACATGTAATCTTCAATTAAGTGCTCATAATTTAGAGACCTTGGAACACAGAAAACAGTAACACCTAAAAGAACTTGGAAAAAAGGCAATTATCAGAATACTAGCTCTTTTTAACCTAGCCATGTCATTTTAACTGGAGAGTGAATTCAAAAGCAGCGTGATGACACAGAAACAAAATTAGCAAAAGAGTTTGGAATCGCAGAGAAAGACTCGAAGATGCAAGGTAGAACAAGCTGGCCTTACTGACCCCAGCAACTTTCCAAGCCAGGCACACTATTCTAAGTTAGTTTCTTTCAATTGCCTTTTTCCCCAGGGAAGGGAGCTTCCCATGGAAGACAGGAGAGTTAGGCAGGGGGTCCATGAGGTTCTCTAAGACATTTCTTAGGAAGTATACCTTTTTTCTCTTGATAAGGCATTATAACTATTTTAATTTGGTTCTAAGAGTTAAACACTTCAATTGAATTATTCTAAGTAGTTGCTTAATTGGTCATCAGTTTTTTCCCCAAGATTCCTATGTTTGGAATATCAGGAAAATACTTCTGAATAGCAAATTTCAGAGGTTTACAAATTTGCCTTGATGACACTTTAGTTCCAGTTCCTTTAAGTAAATTCATTCATTGCTGTGCATGCACACAAGATTTAGGAGACAGAGATCCCCATAGTGAAAACACAAAGATGAAAAGTTTGACCGCAGTTCTTGCAGTTCAAGCCTAGTAAAGGAGATAAAAGCAAAAGGTGACTAAAGACTTATTAAAGGACACCCATGTAAGCTATGAGAAGGCTTGTACTTGTCACTTAACCTCGTATGTGACAGAACGACCAATAAGTCTCATTTTCCTCAGGACTTTTCCGGGTACCTATCCATGTGTTAGTGCTGTGGCACAAGTTATCAATGGAAGCCTTATGCTCGATGTCATACAACTTACACTGTGTGATTAAGACATTCCATGTTTCCCTTTTTCCTAAGGTCTTCTCTGACTGCTGACCTGTGAGTTTGGTATAGAGCATCTCTCTTTCTCACATGGGACACCACAATGTGACACTGCTAAACCACATTATGTTTGTACCTGAATAAACAGTCTGACTCTTAATGTTAGTTTTTTTTTCTTTTGGTCTTTTTGAGACAGGGTTTCCCTGTAGCCCCAGCTGTCCTGGAACTTACTCTGTAGACCAGGCTGGCCTTGAACTCAGAAATCCACCTGCCTCTGCCTCCCGAGTGCTGGGATTAAAGTCGTGCGCCACCACGCCCAGCCTCTTAGTGTTAGTTTTAAAAGCCAAGAGTGGACCCAAAGTCTGAGATTGTTTCTTCAGATCTCTCCATGAGCCAGGCCTCACACCTAACTTTGATTCAAACAGTTTGTCCAGCATGAATTGGGGAACTACAAACTTGGATCCACTCTTACCTTATCAGAGAATCTTTGATTCCCTAGGCCTAAAATATCTCATACACAGTGTCTTGGTATGCTAATTCAAACACTCCCACATTCATTTACTATCTTGGGTGGAGGGCAGAGTGGGGTCCCTAGGGATCAAAGTCAGGTACCCAGGACACAGGACCACTTGTGAGCTTGTTTGCATTATAAAACAGTAGCTCTTTCATGCAAGGTTGAGTAAAAGTCATTGGTCTAGATTCTGTCCATATTGTAAGTCATTTCTGCACTAGCCAAAGCTATTAAATGGCTTCCAGGTATCTATGTCTTCTTATAGATGGAATTCTTGACCAATTCTCTCTGTTGTTGATTCTGGAAAAACAAAGTAGATTTTCTAATCTAGATTGAAGCTTAACATCCCATTGTTGTTTTAGGGATATATAGTTCTTACCCAATAGCTGCTC